TCCCAACTTCCCTACAATGGAAATGCCGCCTCTCTCATCCTACCTACTTGTCACAGAATTTCGCTGCCGAGCGCAGGGGAAGGGAAGAGGAGGGGGAATTTCAAGCGATCAACCATTAGAAATAGTAGTCTTGTTGCGTCACCGACTAGCGATGTGTATTCTGCCCCTAATACGGGAACAATCAAAATCGGGGAAAAAAATTTCTCTGGCTTATTACGACCCCCTTCTCTCTCATCTAGGTATTCCCCAGTGGGGGTCTCGTTTCGAACAAAAGCTCTAGTAACGAAATCGTAATGAATCATACTGCACTGCTTACTGGTCGGCGACCACTGATAGTAACAGTACTGGGTCCAAACTGTTTCTCGGAGCGCAGGAACTGTAAAGAGCATTTCTTAGAAAATCTTTGAAATGGATATATTAGCCGAATGTGTTAGTTCTACACACGGGCCACGCCCTGTTCTTTCGAAGTAGTGCTAATTTCGACCTGCAAATTGTAAAGAACCTTCCTTAGAAAATCTTTGTAAAGCCTGTTGCTACTAGAGTTTCCGCCGATGAGAACGTGGCATCAGTCTCTCCATGCTTAGGCTGCTTCTCTCTTTGAAAGGCAATTTTTCATTCCCCATCATTGTTTCAGGTTTGAAGGGCAGTCATAACCCATAACTGTTATCGCGACAACTGACTCTAACATTCCGAACAATCCTTCCTCTCCTTAGTTCTACATTGGACCACAAGTTCACATTCGTACTACCGCAGCAGATTTTTTTAACGTTCCATTCTTTCGTTTGTAAATTGAGGATCTGTTTTAGACTTTCGAGCCCTATGATCGTACGAAAATGAGTACCTCGATAGACCATAGATGAAGCCTAAAAGTCAACATTTCATGTTGTTTTCAGCATTCTTACCAGCCCTGTTCGTCTTTTCAAATATTTATCGATTGACTGCTTAGAATTCCAGTGGTGTTGCACACTCGAGCGAAGTCCATCGATTTTTCATCGGAAGTTCTGAAGCAACGAGCTGCATTGATGAGAGCGTTCTTCAGTGATTCTAGAAGGTATGTTATAAAATTTTTTGGACGACGTTCGTGCAAAATATTGGATCGACCCATAAGTAATGGCGTTTTTTTCACTCAAAATATCGCGCTGAAGATGAAAACTTTTGCCATTGAGTTTTATACCATTTTGTAGAGAATTCCTTGCCCTACACGATAGTCTTCTTAGTTTTCCTGAAAGTTCTCTTTCATTCAATATTTAAGTGCTCAAACTGGAGTGTCAGGTCGACGAAATTGAGCATTTTCGACAGCCACCCTTTTTTACCTCTAATTAAAAGCTCAAACCGCACAGGCCCAGTTGCTAAGTATATGGCCAAAATGCTATGTCTCTTAGGAATGCTCACAATAGTTTAGGTGATTCGAAGGTTTCAATATCGACCTCACAGAGAAGCATCGGACCTAATGCCCTATTGAGTCCAACTGAGAGCTTACGAATTACCTTATTCACGGAGATTCATGCCAAAGATTGAGGAATCGTTAGAGGTCATGGAATGCTTCCTTTTCATTATCAACCACCTTCCTCAGTTGATGTTAGACGTTCCAAAAGTTGGTGGATGGGTTTGCAGGCAGCCGCCCTTCAAGAGGACGCTCCATGCGCTGAACATTTACAAGGTCCGAATTCCCACTTCTTGATCGCTTGAACCGCTTTTAAGCTGTCATAAGAAGCATCCCTCTCTGATCATATACATCACAGATTTACAGCTTCTTCTGTAGTTTGGGAGCCGAGATAAAATGCAAAAAGTTGTTGTCGAAAACTCACTTTTGTGACGATTGGAAACTCCAGTGCAAAGGAAGGATAATCTATAGAAACCACTATAAGTATGAAGGCAGCCATACGGTCTTATAGAGCGGAGAAATTATCTATCAAACAGTGTAGAACACATTGGGAACAATTGTCATTTTCCATATAAAAACTTGTGTGAGAAAAAACGCCATTACTTATGGGCCAACCTAATATAACCTCCGGTTCAATTGTGGTCTTCGCATCTTTACGGGAACTAGTTTGATTAGATTTGAAGGCACAGAGTACGCTTATACTCCATGCAAAGGTATTGAGGTACTGCACTACACATTTTTTCCATTCAAGGCACTTGTCATGCTGCCTTGGGCTGGACAAAGATAATTGTGCCAAACTGCAATAAATTTTCAAAAGCGCGGTTGCCGCCTCAATCACATGAAGTACGCGACCATGCCCTCCCCACCTTGGGATATGGGGTGCACTTGGCAGTAGTCGTCATTCCTCGCATGAGGTGATCACGACCATAGTCGACTAAGGGGTGCCACATTCGTCATGTGAAAGGGTGTGGTGATGGCGTCAGAGGGAAGTGACGTGGTGAGGTGCAGAGCAGAGCACTTCGTTATGGTCGTTGTGGGAGTCGCAACTGAGGGGGGGGGGTCATATTTATTCTCGGAAGAAACTCTCCCGACTTGTAGATTTTCATGATTTTCCTCCTTCCCACTGCACGCGCGCTATGCAACCCCCTTCCCTGCCCGACGCGAAGTTTCGAGGACATTTGGTCAGATGGGAGGTAGCAGATAGGTTGTGAAATGGGCGCTGCCGCGCCTTCTAACCAGTGCGTCTAGTGGTCTGAAAGTAAATTATAAGAAAGCAGCTGAGTAATGAGCAGAGCACGTCGTTAGTTGGGGAACTCCGGCTAGGGGAGGTCGTACTCGATTTTGAAAGAAATATTTCCACTTGTTGACTTCTTGCGGCTTTTCCTGTTTTAAGTGCCATACATACATCCCTTTCCCCTTCTCAACGGCAGTTTTTTTTGGGAGGGGGAGGACTGAAGGCTTTAGGGGAAAATCCCGAAAAAGCGGTGGAAAGTTGGGATCATTCAAAGAATATGTTATGTAACATAGGCTCGTACCATTGGGGGAGATTTCGGGGCAGGTCGCGTTTTGCTAAATGCTCAAGCTACGGCAGGACGTGCCCTGGGAATGAGTAAAACGATTGGCACCAACGTCATTACCTGTATTAGCGTTCCATAGGGTAATGGACAAATACAGTATTCAGAAGCGTAAAGGAGAAGGCTTGAATTTGGAAGAATTCGAAAGTGCAGCTGGCC